TCCTCCGGTAAAAAACACAATGAGTAGATACATACTTTCTCTTTTTGAAAACACTGTTTTTTCTCCTCTAATAGCATGTGGCCACTACATGCAGCAACATTGAGGGGGGTGCCAAAATGTACTCCCAGGAAATCTGGGAACGCCCTACTACTGCAGCCCATTAAAAAGGAAAGTATCAGCTTGTCCTTACAAAGGTTTTGAGCTCCCAAAGCTATGTACCACTAAAACCACTCAGGTAACAAATCAAACCCAACAAGTTCTTACTCAGGTAACAAATCAAATCCAACAAGTTCCTTTCAACTGCTTCTGTGAAGGGCTAGTGAAGGCTCAGTCACTCAGCATGTCCTTTTAACAGGCTGTATAAGCTCAATACACAGTTAGTAAGTTTATGGGTTCTTTAACAACTTACTCTACTTTTACCGGAGATTTTCTGTAAGACATTGAAAACTAGCATATTTGTAACTTAATAATGAAATCATTTTTTCTTCACCTATTATTTCCATAGCTCATACCCTCATTTTTTGAAGCAAAAGTACTTCCTGCAAATTCAAAGTTCCTTTATCTAGACTTTGCAGTGTTAGAATAGAATAATCTGGATTTAGTGACTTCTGCAGTAAGGCTGAAATTCATTATGTCCTAAATGGAATTTCAGTACAATCCACATATAATAAAGCTACAAGACAATTAAGTTTCTGAAGAAGATATTAATCTAGCCTGTCACCCATAAAAACTCAGCATCATCCAAGGCCACATATGCAGACATCACAAAAAAAGCCCCAACAAAAGCACAGGTGTCCTCCTCCCCAATGCACCAACCCTCTGAAGCTGAAAATGTTTATAACTGTAACACCAGACTCTGAAACTTTCCAAAGCAAACAGAATAAAACCCAAAACAATGGAAAACAATTACTGGGCTTTTTTTCAGTTAAATGCTTTTTGTTAGTAACACCACAATCCAGTTATAGATGCAAAAAACCAAATTTCTGCTGTCAAGAGTGTTTAAGGCTGCCTTTTGCTTTTAGTAAGGCTCATCCAGATGATTTCAAGTACTCATAATCTAGTCTTAACCATGGACTGCTTGGGGGTTTTTTGGGGGAGACTGGATTTTTCATTTGGTTAGTTGGTTGGCTTTTGAGAAGTTACTTCTTATTGTGGAACTATCAGAATAATGCCAAATATCTGAAAGATGTTAAAATAATTAAGTAACAAATATTAGCCCCAAAAGAAACAAAAGCCATTTCAGTACAAAATGACAAACTAAAACTCTTGTGTTCTCTGTACTTTTCTCTAGCTGGATCCTGCAAAATTTCACTATGCACATGTAAATGCAATGCTTAGCATTTCATATCCCATGGTACAGCATCTTCTGGGTTATAACCACCAATGATATATGCTTAATTATGCTTTTATTGTTTTGATATCATCCTAACTATTTAGAGCCTGAAAATTAATCAATAACTCAGGTGAGAGCCTGAAAATTAATCAGTATCTCAGGGCATGCTCCTCCTCTCCATCTGTGCCTTTACTTCCCTGTTATTATTTGAAAAAGTTTATTACAGTTTGATGCACAATAAAGCATTTCCACAGCTGAGACACCATGCTACTTCATTAGGAATGCAAATATCTCTTTTCCCCATGCAATATGCACTAAATAAAAATGCATACAAAATGCATACTTGCCTTTGCTGCAAGTATAAAGATCTCCTTTTCCATAACAGCTCTGGAGTTAGAAAGAAAGAAATCTTATAAAAAAATTGCTGCATGTGTTATGCAAAAGAAATGACTGACCAAGCTTTAGCCCTGCAAGCAGAAGAGACAACTTATACTCAGTAAAAGCTGCAAAACTGCAAATTTCAATCCCATTGCATTGAAAATAAGTAAGTTCCAAAAGAGGCTCAAGCTAGTAATAGGCTATAGATCAATTTTAGTCCACAAGGGAAGAGCTGATTTTACAGTGCTGGCTTCTGTGTTTTCAGCTCTTTATACAGATGCCCAGGCATTTATTGCAATGTTTAACCTGCTGTAAAAGACACAGTAACATGCAAAAGTCAGTCTGCCACCTCCACTGGGGCTACAAGGAAGGCAAAAGAAATTGTTGCCCTCAGGGATGAGCAAAGGGAAGTCAAAGAAAGAAGGGCAAGAAGGAACAGGAAAACCAAGCAACTGGCCTGTATGAAACAAACCCCAAACAAACAAACAGCATAAGCAAGACAAACAGTATGCACAGAATGGCAAGGTTAGCATAAAAGCATCTGTAACTTTCTTGTCTTTAATTTGTTGCATTGAAATAGATGCAACTACCTAAACACTAGGGCTCTAAACAAGAACAAAATCCCAGTTGCTACACTTTTAACAGGGACACCATGCTAAGTCTATGGAGGTACATACTATAAAAACATCCAAAATCCACTGGGCAAGTCTCCTCCTGCATAAACCATCACCATAAAACAGATTATAAGGGAAATTGAGTCACCACATAAAGCAAGAAAGGCATTCCATTTACACAACTGATTACCCAGACTACCTAATGAAGGAAAGAAAAGTACTTGACTCCTTCAAGATCATTTGTTATATATTCATTTGCTACTTTCTCACACATACGGAGATTTAAAGGAAGACAGTAATTTATAACACCATGTTCTCTGGTAAAAGCCATACCAGTTCTACCTTTAAGGCACAACTCCCTTCAAGTGAAGTATTAGCAATGTTCAACAACAAACCCACCATCTCCTGAAGGACTTTCAACCACTATCCACTGGGCCTTATTTCCATTTCCCACTGAAATCCAATGTCCCTAGTCAGACACTTCCCAGATTTTCAGAGCTTTCAAACAGCGTAGTTCAAGCAATACACTGAAACACCCATTTTGAAATACTCAGAATACAAATTTGGAACAAAACTTAGAGAATGTGGAAAAGTTGATCGGAAATGAGTGGCTTGCATGATAGCAGCATCTCTCAACTGCCTATATGAGACACTAAAACATTAACATTCCCTCGGTAAGGTCTTTAAATTATCATAGAATCATAGAATCATAGAATAGGTAGGGTTGGAAGAGACCTCTAAGATCATCAAGTCCAACCCCTGATCCAACTCCAATTACTATATCATGGCACTAAGGGCCACGTCCAATCTCTTTTTAAAAACCTCCAGGGATGGTGAATCCACCACCTCTCTGGGTAGGCCGTTCCAATGCCTGATAATCCTCTCTGTAAAGAATTTCTTCCTAACCTAAACCTCCCCTGGCAGAGCTTGAGCCCATGTCCCCTTGTCCTATTGTTGGTTGCCTGGGAGAAGAGACCAACCCCTGCCTGGCTATAACCTCCCTTCAGGTAGTTGAAGAGAGTGATGAGGTCGCCTCTAAGCCTTCTCTTCTCCAGACTAAACAACCCCAGCTCCCTCAGCCTCTCCTCATAGGACTTGTGCTCAAGTCCCTTCACCAGTCTCGTTGCTCTTCTCTGGACCCGCTCCAGCACCTCAATGTCCTTCCTGAACTGAGGGGCCCAGAGCTGAGCACAATACTCAAGGTGTGGCCTCACCAATGCAGAGTACAGGGGAAGGATCACTTCCCTGTTCCTGCTGGCCACACTGTTCCTGATGCAGGCCAGGATGCCATTGGCCTTCTTGGCTACCTGAGCACACTGCTGGCTCATGTTCAGCCTCCTGTCGATCAGCACCCCCAAGTCCGTTTCTGCCTGGCTGCTCTCCAGCCACTCTGTCCCCAGCCTGTAGCGCTGCAGGGGGTTGTTGTGGCCAAAGTGCAGGACCCGGCACTTGGCCTTGTTGAACTTCATTCCAAATTATAAATATACAGATGTCTATTGAGTTTACATTGCAGAAAAGCATCACAGTACAGATCAGTGAGTGTGATCTGAGGAAGGATTGTACATTTTAAGTTAACATTCTAAGTTTTCAGACATCAGAATGAATTCCATGAAGACTGTAAACAAATGGAAAGAAGCAGTCTTAGTACAATGGTTGGAAAGCATACATTTTCAAAGTTTATATTTCAAAACCACAACTGTCAAAATAATCATTAGACGGGGGGGGGGCAAGGGGGGAAGAGTGTTCAGAGAGCTGTTTAGATAAGAAATACCACAACCCTTAAACTTTATTTTTAAAGTTATTACAGATTTTCAACAACTTTCTGGCTATAAAGAGATGGCAAGGGGGATTCAAGTTTACTTAGCCTTTCTGCACAGTCACATTTTTAGGTTACAGATTAGATGACAGACTTAGAAATTCCCTCAGTTCTCTAGAGGCAATTGCAACTAATTGCAACTAGCATACGTTTCATTTTGAAAACACAAGTTTCCCCCGCCTCTGGCAAATCATGCTTTTGGAAGTTCAGTATTTTTTAAAGAACAGCGTGAGAGCAGAGGACTGGCCTCAGAAATACAACTCCCACAAAACCTACTCCTGACCAAAACACACTGCCAGTGCTTCCAGACCTGTGAGCATTCCATTACGGCAAGTACAAGCTCACCCCTTCCGAAATCTGTTAGCCTGGGTGACACGCCTCAAACCCTATGGGGACTAGCAGAGGAATTTAAATGAGATTGTGTACACGTATATTGATAAAAACGTATTAACAAAATTAGACGACCCGGGAGACCAAGTATGAGTTTTCTCCCAGAATACCTACGACCAGCTTCGCGTGATTACTTGGATAAAACACCTGCCCGGGGCACGAGGTGGTAAAAGACACCCAGGTTAGGAGGCGTCACTTTTCAGACCCGGTGGACGTGGAAGTCCTCTGGGCGGTCTTTACCCAGCGTCCCGAAACGCTCTTGGTGCCGAGGCCCCGGCGGAGCCCCGCTCCCGAGCCCCCCGCTCCGATGCCGCGGATCGATGGAGCCGCGGGGCGCGTGGGGTCCGGCGGGGCTGCGCTCCCGCAACTGCTCCAACTCGCCGAGAAGTTGAGCCGATGGAGGACGGGGAGGGGGGAAAAGGACGGGACGGCTCCGTACCGGCAGAGAGCCGCCTCCCGCTGTCGCTACCTGCTGATGAAGCCATCCCCATCGCCGTCGCAGGTCTGGAAGAGGCGCCTCATCCTCTCCTCCTCACCCGTGCTGGAGGTATCGCTGCTGCCGGCGCTGCTCACCTCCGCTACGGAGGCTGCCGCCATCATGCGCCCGGTTCCGGAGGAGGAGGAGGAGGAGAAGAAAACGGAGGAGGAGGCGAGGCTGCCTCAGGATTTCCAGACCCACCGCGCCTGCAAAGTGCGAGCGACAGCACAAAGCGGGGCGGGGGCTCCGCGGGGCCGGATCGCTGCGGCTGCGGCCGCGGCCCGGAGCGGAGACTCCCGCAGCGGGGAGTGGGCGGCGGAAGCTTCCCCGCCTACCCACGGCATCGTCCTGCCCCGCGCCCGGCCCGTCCTCCGCGATCCACCGTCTCGGCAAACCGGGGCCAGCCGCGCTCCCAGTCAGGGTCATCCGAACTCGTCACGAGTGTCGCTTGTTCTCTCCTTTGGCTGGGCAGGCCCGGCTCCCGGCTTCGGGAGCGCTGCTGCCCGCTTTGGCTGTGCCCTGGCTGGTCTGTGGAAGCCAAGCCCAGACAAACCCCAGTGTCTTCTGTAGCCCTGTGTTTGCACTTGACGCTGTTTGATGGGGTGTTGTTCAGGTGGGAGCATTCTGGGATGCAGTTCCATCCAGTTCTTTTCTACTGATCAAATTCCACCTGCAGTAATTCGTTTTTCTGCTCCACATGTTCATGGCTTGTACCTCTCCCTGTCTGTCTCCTTTGCATTTAGAGAAAAGTCACTTGGCACTCTTCATGTGTCCAGATGAAAAAAAAAATTATCTCACGTGTATGCTATGGCTTCACTTCCTTTAGTACTCTTGCCACTCCTTGCATTACCTAATTAAGTTTTAATCAGTCCTTTTTTTAAAAAAAAAATTCCTGTGAAAAGAACTGATACACCAACAGCACCAATGACAATCTTATGTCTACTGGAAATAGGTATTCTGAAACAGTCTAGAACAGTATTTCCATTTACAGTAGCATTACGTTTCTTACTCCATCACCCTGTGATTAACTGGGTCAGCTAAGTTTTTTCCTAACCTATTTCTGCATTTGAAAAAAAGCCCTTGTTATTAAGGACATGTATGTCTCTCATAGTATCAGATATTATCCTTCTTCTATTACTTAAGTCTTTGAAGACATCTAGTTCATCCCACAAAACATTTTGATCTTCCTTGCTGCTGACAGTGATTCATGAATATATAAAATCAGCAAAGTTATCTCACTTCTCTTGTTGCATAGTCTCTTTCAAGTATAGTAACTGATGGCAATAGTTCTAATTGTCAATATTTATTACATCTTGACTAAGTAAGTCATTATAAGGCAAAGAGTCCCTCTGGCATTTTATTAACTAAAACTACTTGCGAGTGCAAGCATGCGTATACGCTTACTCTTGTATCTCTCAGTCTGCAGTTTTCCAATTAGGTTGCTCACGTTAGTTCTTGCTGGATGACAAAGGCAGTGGGGTACAGAGCCAACACACTTCCATGCTCTTTCAAGGCAATGAAAGCAGAGAACACTGTAACTGTCCTTTCAGATGTTCCATCTTCTGACCTACAATGGTCTCAGTCTTAGCAACTGCTTTTTCTCAGTCCTATGCAGGGTGTTGCTAACGTGTGATACCAGTTGTTTACTGCAGCTGTTTGTTTACATTGAGGACTGGATGAGCTGTACAGTCACAAGACCATTTTCTTCAGACAGATCCCATAGACTTGCTGTTCAACATCACACATAAGAATTCTTGCACATATTCTGCAAATATAGCAGTCACTGCTTCTTATTAAGAATTAAAATTCTTAACAAGGAGTTGGACTCGATGTATTCTTATACATCCCTTTCAGCTTGAGATATTCAATGATTCTATGATTCTATATAGAGTCCTAAAACTGTGTTTCCTGGCAAAGCCACCAATACCAATATAGCAAGGTCAGATCCAAAACACAGCTATAAGGATCTCCAAGAACGACCTTTCTCCATCCTGATGCTATCTGCAAAGCCTCACAGCTAGCCAGTTCTTCTCTTTTTTTTAAGTAATCTCTCATTTCTTTTCTAATATAGATAAATATCCCAGCTAGCACTTAATCTTTTGTTCTCATCTTATCCATATGCTTCATGCAGTAGCTTTCTTTGCAGATCAGGAATTCATCCATTCCTTACATTCTCCCTCCTCATTGCTAATGATCTTTCATTGCTAATGATCTTTTTGAGTTGGTTGTTTATACATTAAGTTTTTCTTGCTATCTTTTCTGCTTCTGGAGATCAGTCGCAATTAAATTTTTGCATCTTCAAGGTAACTCCCAAGAAAACCTGGTGCAGTGGCTTCTGACTTACCTTAAAAACAAATCACTCATACCAGTTCCTCCTAGCTGATAGGGACAGCTGATATCCTGGCTGTGGTATGGTATGCTAGACAGTAAAACCAGCTGAGCTTGCTGGCTTGTGTTGTGATTCCCATCTAATTTTTTAAAAAGCTGTATCACATCGGGTGGAAAGCAACACTCTAAGCTCCCCACATTCCTGTACCTACTACAAATTATGTGTACATTTCTGCAGCCAAGAATGTGGATTTCAGATGGCAAAAAAACAGTTAAAACACAGAACATGTGCGGCAGAAAGTACAATTCTTCCTGAAGTGCATCCTCACTGTCCCTTCTGGGAGGGGTGTGTGGTGTCTAGAAAGTTATGATGAGAGAACAAGGAAGGAGGGCAAGGAGTGAGACCTCCATAGTGCTGTGAAAAGAAGATGTCAGAAAATAGGCTTGATATTTCTCTAAAAAAGAGAGTTTGTAGATTTTCTATTTAAAACTGTGGATTTTAACAGTCAATCTGTTGGCTTTTTGTTTGTTTATCTTTTAAGTTAAATGAATCTGCAATTTTTTCAATATTTAACTATTTAACTATATTCTACAATATAAACTTTCCATAATGGCTCAATTTCCAAATGCAAATATAAATATATACCAGACAGCCAGTGCAATTACTAACAATTCTGTAGCAGTATTAGCTGCACTTATTTGCAACATTTATATACCAAAATTTACCTACCCATTACCCAGTGGGTAGGAGACACCTCATTTGCAGAGATGGTGGACTTGTAAGACTTTTCACCAAATCAACAGGAGATTTAAGTTTGTGTGATCTCTGAAAGTCAAGTCTATGTCAAGTTAGGTGCTGAACAATAGAAAAGAAAACCATTGTACACCACTCAAAATTTGACCCTAGACAGTTTTGCAGAAGAGCTTGTGAGTCTACATAAAAAGATGCCAAATGACCAAAATCTATTGACCAAAGAAGAGAAAAACTTCCTGCTACATAGCTTTCAGCCATACCACTTTTAACTTAACCTCCTTCAAAACAAGCACTAAATTAAGTTTTTGAGCAGGAAGTTTTCATTTGGTAACATTCCTTTGAGCAAGGTAGCCAGGGTATGCAATGCAGAACTTTCTCAGCATCAGGAGTCCAATTTGCCTAGAATACCATCCCTTCCAATTTCCTACATCCTGCATCCAGCCCTTTTCCGCTTGTGCCAAATACATCTTAAGAGTTCCCTGTTGCTCTGTGAGGTTCTTGGGTAACAGACATTTCACTGTAAACTGACTGACACATCGTCACTCGACACTGAGAGGACAGACAGGTTCTCTTAGGGATATTGACAGAGTGATGATGTCATTAAATCAATTACAATTAAAGCTTTATTTTCTGCTATGATTGGTATAGAATAGAGTTTATTATTAGAATGGCACACAATTTTTACAAGCAGAGTCAACACATTACAATCTATAAGCAGAAAAATAGAGAATTTATAATACAATATAACTTACAATTTTTAATCATGTGGACCCTCTGCAGATAAGGGCATATCCCAGTACATGGTTCACTGTATCAGTATTGCAATCAAAATATAGACTCAAAAAACATAGAATACAAGTAACTTAGTCCTCAGAGGAAGCAAAATGCTGTGAAAGTGTCCCTGGCCAGAGGGTCTGGGGTTTCACTGTCCAGCAGCAGCTCCCATCCAAGTTCCCCACTTAGGACTTGTTACTTCTTGATTTTATGGACACTGTTCTGGGTGGTGTTACACTTCCCTGTCACCACCACTGGGCTGGTGACCTTCAAGGCCAGCAAGGAAGGTACCAAGGAACCTTGAGGCCCTGTACGGAGGGGAAAAAGAAATCCATTAGGATTGTCTACTTAGTGCACAGGACCTTCAGGGTCTGATAATGAGGAAAAAGGAAGGAATCTGTGACCCCCTCAGGCACAGAGAATGGCTGCCTGCTCCGTAAGATGATGTGAGTTATGCTGACCACATTACCACGGGTCGGGAGCAGGGGGTATTGCTCACGCCCCTATATAAAATCAGTGCAATCTGGAAGGCTATTTAGCTGATTTAAGCCAATTTTCTAAGTACCATTTTTAGCCTAACTTGCTAGTTAGGCCCCAGATTACTGCCAGGGGGTAGTGATGGGACAGCAATGTTCTGCCCTTGCCTCAGCCAGTAAACAGAAATGGGGCAAGAGGAAGAAGTAGCTTCATCTTTTTTTTAATACGTGTCAGCATACAGGCCACAATTATAAACAGGGCACATTTTAAGAGTTATCAATTACCCAGTTACTCAGACAAGGATAGAGTGACAACAGAAAAATAAGAATATAGCAAGAACAGCTGGAGGTAGTGCCAAGTATGGCATACTCAGACCTGATTTTTCAAAATCCCTGAATTCCTTGTGTTTGATGCACTGTTATTTTTATTGGCTATATTTGCTGTATTCTCTGATATAAAACAGAAACACAGAATCTTCTGAGTTAGAAGGGACCGACAAGGATCATCGAGTCCAACCCTTGCACGAATGGTCCATATGGGGATTGAACCCACGACCTTGGAGTTATTAGCACCATGTTATTTCCGCCAAACAGAGAAAAGAAAATATTCCAAGAAAGCAGTAAATGTCAGTCATTAGGAACACATTACAAATATTACAGAAAACAGTTTGGGATTAAAGCAATTAATAAAATGCAACCATTTAAGCATTTTACTTTATTTTATTTTGTGTGGAAATATAACTTTCTGTGGAAGTTTTGCACACCTATTTTATAAGCACAAGATTTTTTTTATAGAAGCATAGAATCATTAAGGTTGGAAAAGA